TTATTATATATATATATATATAAATGAAAAAAATCTTTTCTATTTCGCGTTTTTTGGATATTTTTTTCTTTCGCATATCTTACAATCTTTTATTCACATAAAAACATTTGATCCGACATTATTATCTTTATCCAGATTAATATTTTCATTCAATTGTTTTTGTATTCTATATAATTCGCGTATTTTAATTTGATATTATAAATACATTAATACAAAATTATCATAATCTTAAATATAATTATTCTATTCGATGTCGACCCTTTATTATTGGTAATCTGATGATTTATAAATATCATATGTGCAAGAAAATATTAATGATAAAATGCTCGGACTGATATATTATAATCTCTTATTTAAATATTACGTTAGAATGATTTAAAATTATGACGAGGTATGCATGAAAAATGTATCCGAAAATAAACGAAACATTCAGGAGCATAGGGAAAAAATTAAAAAAAAATCAAAAAAAAAAAAAAAAAAAAAAAGAAAAAGTGGAAGATCGACCTTCTGTATATCTTTTCTAATCCCTTTCTCCTTCGTGATCCTTTCTAAAAATACGACCTACTCCTAAGGTATTTGAAAAAAGAAATTGTAGAAACGAAAAGTCCAGTCTGGCGAGTGTCTGCAACCGAATTATAATAGAACGAAAATATTATATATGCTCGAAATAAAATATTAATATTATTTTTATATTTATATTTAAATATAAAATTTAAAAAAGAAAAAAAATTTATTTTTATATTTATTAACAAGTCATAATAAAAAAAAAATTTTTAGTTGCTGATGAAGTCCCCAGTAAGGGACGAAACGTACAACTAGTTCAAAATAAATTATTCATCAGATTTATTAACCGTCTATAATTCTCTTTGAGACTTATATATTAATAGATTTTTTTGGACAAGAATATTGATAATTAAAATTAATATTAAATTTTAATATTTTACAATAATATTAATTTTATTCATTTTAATTAAAATTAAAATTTGTGTCTATTACGAGTTTTTCTTTAATAAAATCATTTTAAAAACAAATTTGGGAAATATACAACTTTTGTATTCATTAAGAAATCGATGTTCCGATTACGATAACCAAGATTACGTGAATTATGAATAAAAATTTGAACGCAAGTAATCTGCGCGAAGTTTGGAAAGGAGTCGATTCTATTTCCATGACCCACTTTATGAATAAAGAAGGAACGATATAATATAATGAGACAAAGAAGCGTAGAAAGAGAGAGAGAGAAAGAAAAACCGCAAAAGTAAGTCAGGGTATCTTTCTCTCTTTATATTTTTATCTTTTATCATCTCCCCGTCTCGTTAAGTAAATACTAAAAAAGGATATAATAAAAATACAACATTCCTTTGAAATTAGAAAAGGTAGATGATTTCTAGAGTTTTTCTTAATTGACTGCGCTAATCGTTTAAAATGATTATTCGATAATGTGTGCTTTCAGAAATGCAATTATACATATATTTTAAACATAAGACATTTAAGGCGTTCAACTAGAAGAAAATCTAAAAGATTTGTTGTTAAATCTTTGCAAATCGATTTATAACTTAAAAAGGTATTCTACGCGTAGACAAAAGAGTGTACTTTAATTTAATATAAAAATCATTAAWATYCGTTTGCTAAAAGTATACAAAATATTTACCAAAACTTTTCAAAGAAATTGCAAAGATGCACAATTTACAGCATTGCATTCTCTGACATTTTCTGAACTTTTGCAAATTGATTTATAACTCAAAAAGGTATTCTACGCGTAGACAAAAGAGTGTACTTTAATTTAATATAAAAATCATTAAAATCCGTTTGCTAAAAGTATACAAAATATTTACCAAAACTTTTCAAAGAAATTGCAAAGATGCACAATTTACAGCATTGCATTCTCTGACATTTTCTGAAAATTTGCAAATCGATCTATAACTCAAAAAGGTATTCTACGCGTAGACAAAAGAGTGTACTTYAATTTAATATAAAAATCATTAATATTCGTTTGCTAAAAGTATACAAAATATTTACCAAAACTTTTCAAAGAAATTGCAAAGATGCACAATTTACAGCATTGCATTCTCTGACATTTTCTGAACTTTACATGCTAAATTTATAATTCGATATGGTATTTTACGCGTAGACAAAATAGTTTATTTTAATTTAATATAAAAATCATTAAAATCTATTCACTCTTAGTATAAAAAATATTTAGCGAAACTTTTCAAAGAAATTGCAAAGATACACAATTTACAGCATGCGGATTTTTTCTTGGTAACTAAGTCAGTGCGGATTTTATCTTGGCAACTAATTCGTGTGGTTAAACCTAACGGTTGGTTCAAATAATTGCATAAAAATGAAGATATACACTCACGAAATATAATTTTTTTTCGACATGCCTTGCATTCATAAAATGCAATCTTCTCACACGTACACGGGTATTTTAAATTGTTAGATTTAACAACAAATCTTTGAGGTTTTCTTATATTTGAATACCTTAAATAACTACTTTTTAAAATATATATGTATAATTGAACTTCTGAAAGCACACATATATACACTAAAAATGAAATATAATTATTTAAAATTTTATTACATTATAACTATATTATATTTGTGTGTTATCAAGGAATACTAATTAACATTTAATTCGATTTCGTATTTCATTCGATTCAATTAAGAACAAATTAACGAGTCATTTGATTTTCCGTTTGATCGAGCTTAATTTATTTAAGAAATCATTTTTCAATATTATTTTTGTAAATTTCGATAATTAAGAACGACGATGAAATAATAAAAATGTTGAATAATTAATAAATCATCGTGAAGTGAACGAGAACCCTTTTAATAAGCCAATAATCGTGTCAATTGTAATGCGTGTGTATACGCGTGTATGTGTATTACGTGGGACGATTAATAAAACTGAAAACTTGATTGTATGTTTTATTCAAAAAAATACGCCCATAGATTTGTTTATTATTTTCTTAAAAGAATCTTCACGTAATCCACGAGCTTGTCGAGACCACGTTGATTCACTTCCTCGTAACCAGGTATCTCGTTCTTGCACGTCCTTAACCAATTTTCCAAATTGGGATATTCTCCCGTCGGTGGCACGAACAACTTTAATGCGTAAACCATAACACCATGAATTTCCATAAAAAAGAGAACAAATAAATAAAAGATAATATACCAAAAGTTATTTTCACAAGTGAAAAGTGCATCGCAATGTTCTAAAATTTGGCTAAAGTAAATATTATCTTCGTGAAGTAGAAAAAAAAACAATGAAATAAATAAAATAAATTAAAAAACATAATATAATATGAAAAAAAAATAATAAATAAATTAAAGAAAATTTGTTTGTTAGTTTAATTTACTTCCAAAGTGGAAAGGGTAGCAACGTTACAAAGATCAGCTATAGTAATCGTGTCTCCAACTAGCCATTTCGTTTTAGCATTCGCCAAAATCGAATCAAGTATTTTGTAAACGTTCTCCAATCGAATTATTTTTTCCTTCGTAACGATCTTCTCACCGCCTATAACTGGATACTACAAATAATTCAAATTCAAATTTGTTATATAATAATGCAAGATTAATTATAGAAACGTATGTTTTACATTTATCCACAAATATTCGCAATTTTTCATACGAATTATTTTAAAACGAGTTAGAATATTTTTTCTAACGCGTTGTAAAAAAAAAAAAACAATCATTGTTCCAAATAGAAAAGATAAAATTGTAATAACACGCGAGTGTTAATGAAGAAGAAAATCTACTACAAGTTAAAGGCATTAATTTATGCAAATTAACATAGGACTTCTAAATCGTTGCTACAAAAAAGCAAGAAAAAAACAAAGAAAGAAAACAACACGGACGGAAAAATCGAAAATCTTTTCTTTCTCTTGATCTAAATTCTTAATAAAGTCAAGTTCAATGTCGACAATTATACAAGGATTACGTTATTACTTCGATGCAATTTTCAATTCAATTTGAAAGCTACACCAATGTATAATTACAATTAAATTACCAACGCAAACTATCAAATCTTAGAATTTTCTAAAACTATAATTTAAACGAAGTTTGATCGTTTTCATGTGCAACTTAGCATGACTCGTCATTTATTCTGTATCCAACATCGAATTAATCAAATTTTACAAATCCTATTTACGACATATACGTATAAACACCCAATTCTGTTTTTACACGAATTAATATAAAAATTTTTTTTAAAACAGGACATATTTTTAAATTTGACGCAGCAACTATCCTAGATTTAGAAGAAAACTGGTACAAAAGAAACATTAGCGAAACGTATCACATATGTAATAATAATACGGTAAATTATAGAACAGACACAAATAACTTAAATCACATCTACAACGGAATTTTTAAATTTTAAACATAATAAATAATAAAGGACACCTTACACTGATGATATCTAGGCTAAMAARCACTAGTCTAGATTGAAACAGTTTTGTTGAGGATTTTGAATAATAACGATGGAATTAACGAAGTTTAAATGTGTTGTGTTTGGAATATTAACAAAAAGAAAAATGTATGTCGAAATAAATAAAAAAGACGCTGAGCTTTAATGATTAAGGTAATATGTAAAAAAAATTATATTGTATAAAACGCATGTATCGTAATAAGAAATGTATAAGAAAATAAATTTTCCAGTTGCTGAATAAGTCCCAATAAAGGGACGAAACGTCCAACAAATAAAGTTCTACTTCTTTTTATGTCCAAGTTCCCTATGAAACTTTATCATCAAAAATTATAATTTTGGACGAGAGAAAATACTAAATAAAAATTTAATTCTCTTTTTTTACACGACTTATTTTGATTCAACACACGATCGATTCAAATTCTAAAAAATAGAATTCAAAGAAGAATTCTTTACGAAGACGATTTATGATCAGTTGTGAAAACGAATAAAATCATTTTATGTCTAACTCGTATTATCTTGCATAATTTTTTTTCTGTTCATTTTCCTTCGAGAAAATAATTATAAAAGATAATAAATCAAATCTCGTTTTACACTTTAAATATTCTTTGTCAATAATCAAATATTTATGATTAAAATGAACGACAATAAAATGTCGATAATTTACCACAATGTTACGAAATTCTGGATAAAGGGTTCCCGTATCGAAGTGCAATCTTTGATCAACTAGAGCACGTTTTCTCGAATCTTTTGGATAAAGCATGTCGGATTTTCCGTACTCGTGTACCAAATATCCCGATATCGCGTGACTGTAAAAAAAGAAGCGCAAATATTGGAAGCATACAAAGGGAATGTGTGTGCAATAGAGAGAAACAGAGAAACAGAGAGAGAAACAGAGAGAGAGAGAGAGAGAGAAGGAAAAAGTAAAAAAGGGATAAAGAAAAAAAGAAAAAAGAGAAACTAATCAGTGTTCAAGTTATCTCCTCTCTTCCGGGAAACAGCATATCCGGTAGGCGGTGTCAAATCATACGCATTATCGAATTGTATTGGGAAGCAGTAATGTCCACTCACAAGATCACGATACAATTATTGTTATTCCAACTACTATCACGATTAACGTGACTAATATCAAAATTCTGCATATCACGAACAACATGTACTTTTCATGATGAAAAAAAATATTCTCAAGATGGAGAAAACAATTAATTATCACAGATTTCATTTTCACTCGCGTCATTGTAATATTGAATTAATTTTGTTCTAAAACCGCGTACGGAAGAATGATGAATATGCGAAAAAATTGAAAGTTTCATTGAAAGAGAAAGTAAATTAATAAATCGTTCCGAACGAGATATCATAGCACGAAGGTCCATCATTTTATTATTTTTTCTTCTTTCTTTTTTCAGTTTTATTATATTCTCTGTACCTATCCCATAGACAGTAATCCTTGTCTTGTAATAACGGTACTGTTCCTTGTGGATTCATCTAAAAGGTCATATACAGTCGATGAGTTATTAACTATAACAATCAATGATGATCATCCTATTAAATAATTCTTCGAAAGGTCTTCAAATTATCGTTAAAACTTGCCCGTAAATATTCTTGCGTTCGTTGCTCACCAGAGATCAAATTAATTTCTTTTTTGTACAATGGAAGACCGAGTATATAAGCCGTCATTAAAACTGACCTAACCGGTGGGGATAATTCAGTCATGTACAAAGTCGGGACGGATTTGTTTACAAATGTTTTAAGACTCATAATATAAATTAAAGTAAGATTATTAATTGAAATTTGTTAACAAATTAATTGATCTCGCACGCACATTATTTTTCATTTTTCTAAAGCAACCGTTGACTCGTCTGAATTTGTTCAACGATAATCTAACGATATACCACATGTATGTGTGTGTGTGTGTGTGTAAACTTATCAATTCGATGGATCGATGAAAACTGTCTCGAGGTTCTCGCTAAACAACATTTTCCCAACTTTTCATTCAATTATCGGTTCTTTTTTTTACAAAGCATTTAGAAACTTGTATAACAAAATCTAACGACTCCGGTTATAACGAACTGGATCGAAGTTTTTAATTATAAAAAAACAGATTAACGTAAGTTAATTACATGCAAATGAAAAAAAAATAATAATAATAAAAATCGATTAAGAAATATATATATATGTGTGAGAAATAAAGTTTTTCCAATCGATCATAGGATAATTCGTTAAAGAATCATTCGTTCGCAATTTTCTGTTGGAACATTTCGTGAAGCATCTTGTTCCCTGTTTCGTTGTATTTCTCGTAACCCGGTAAATGTTTCTCGCAACGTTTCAACCATGCTAGAACGTTCGGATATTCGTTCAATTGCAAGAGAACCTGTAAAAATTGTTTATCGATTAATTGATAATAATTCATTCAATTGAAAATTATCGCTAAGCCTAAACGATTGACTTTATTACTAGAATTTTTATTCAATTTTGATAATAAAATTAAAGAAAAATAAATAAATACAAGAGAGAAGTATCAAAACGGAATTTAAATTGAAAAAAATAAATAAATAAATTAATAATACGACAATGTATTATATTATTTTTATCAATTTTATCGAAATTTTTGTTAAGAGTGGAATTAATCGATTATAACGGATATCAGAAAATTGTATTGAAATCATCGATGGGGTTACGTAAGAACTTACGGTCATTGATGAAACCGTGCTGACGCAGCAGATATCAGCAATCGTATAAGAATCTCCGACCAACCATTGTTTACCTTCCAAAAGCTTATCGAAAATTTCAAGACCTTCCTTGGCTTCCTCTAACAATTCATTTGGAACTTTTGTCTCCGTTCCAAGTAATATGGGTTTCTGTGTGATAACCAACAAATTTTATTTTATAATTGAACATTTACAGAATCAAATCATATCCATTTGTTTATTTAACGATTAAATGTTTATACTTACGACAATTCTTTTAAGAGAAGCGAAAAGGACAGAAGCATCGAAAATTAAACGTTGGCATACTGTTGATCTCAATTGGAAGGATTTCGGATAAAGTGAATCGTTCACGCCATATTTATCCACCAAATAAGTAGCGATAGCGTGACTATAAAATTCAAACATGTGTTACTTTATCGTCCTTATGTCAAAGTATATGGGTCATTCCATGTCAAATCGACAAATTTTTTACCTGACCCCCTTTGATTTC